TGATATTTTCTTCCATATTCACAGTGCAATAGCAAACACAATACTAAGCTAGTTTCAACAAGAGTTAACAGATATAGTTGTTGACATATTACAAACAGGATAAACAATCCACCTTAGGGATTAATTTATCAACTATGAAGTGTATCATAGTGACATAAAAAAAAGACTTATTTTCTAACACAATATTTCATAGAATCGATCTAAGCCATTTTTTTAAGTACAATTTTAACCAACATCAAACTGGTTGAACCTAAATTAATTCATTGAAAAAGAAAGATAATTAATTGAATTATCAAAAGCGATCTTAAGCAATAATTCTGGAACTATGTCAACTGGTGGTACTGAAGGCTTTTTCGCCCAAACTTCCCTCTTTCGTACTCAATTGTGAGAGCTTAAATGAAATTTTGCTAGGCCACTTTTTAGGTCACCATCAATCTTTAAAAGAGGTTGATAAATTACATTTATCATATTTTAAAAGTTGTTTTTGTCCTCATAGATAGGCAATCGGCCACACTGTGGGGCGGTCGCTTCATTCGCCATGTGGTCGGTTCGGCTCAATCCTGAGTATGTAAGCAATACTAGTATTTTTTCTTAATTTATATAATCTCAGTATATATCAGTATAATATCAGATGACAGGTGTATTCTATCAGTTAATAACGATCCTCACCCATCCCTATAATTCTCCAAGAAGGTTGAAACGGCAGTGGTCTTGCGACCTTTTGTAGATTGTATATATTGGAGTTCTGGCAATGGCCACTCAAGACATGAGTGTATGTGGCTAAAGTGCTCTCGATCAATCTCCGCTGGCTTTAGTACCAGTGATGGTGTTGAGAGAGTAGCGCAGGGTTCTCCTGGAGTTCCCTCGCCTCATTGAATATAGGTATGCATGTGTTTTTGTTGCTTAGCTTTAATTTTCTTATTTTTTTAGGTTATTTTATTTTATTATTTATTGTATATACTTTTGATTATTATTTTGCTTATATTTATTTTACATTTTTTGTACATATAGTGTGAATGTTATCCTACCTCAATGTAACCAATGTCCAAGAGACTGATTGTTGTAATATTCAATAAATAAATTTAAAAATAAAAAAATAACGACCCAACGATTGCATTCTAAACTCTTCAATCACACATCACAAACCTTGAGGAATTGTTTCAAAATCGGAGAATTAAAATAAACTCCATGAAATTGCCTTTGCCCTTCGTCGTGAAGCTATGACTTTCTGCCCTACAGTATCCTTTAACAATACCCCAATCATCTCTGTTGAACAAACCCGATACTTAGCAATCCACCTGGGCAAAGGACTCACTTGGAATCCTCATACCAGACTGAAACGACCAGAAATCGCTCGACGTATCCGGGTATTTCATCACTTACTAGGCAGACGCTCTAAACTTCCAATCACTTACAAAAGACTCATATACATGACAGTAAGGCCTATTTCGACTTACGGAATAGAGCTTTGGGGCTCTACTAAATCATTAAACTCCTCTCGTATTCAATCCTTACAATCCAAAATCCTTCGTAAAATCCTCAACGCTCCTTACTTTGTCACAAATTAAATCATCCATAACGACCTTAATGTACCACATGTTTCCGATTTAGATCAATCCAGATATCTATCCTCCCATAATAAACTTCTGTACCATCCGAACCCTCTTGTTTCTAACCTGTTTCTTCCTCTTCAATTCCTGATAATCCTGCGATGCGTCTGAAAAGAAGATGGTCTCTTGGAAATTATATTAATCCATTATTGTTCTCGCTCTATAATTTTTTTTTTTTGCAAAATAGCCTTGATTTGAAGTTTTCTCACTTACTAAGAATATAGAAGCCATGGATATTTGAAAATTGTGAAAACTTAGAAAACGTTTAGAATTTTTTTTTAGATACTAAATGAAATGGTCGTCATGCTCGGCATTTCTATAAGTGCAAGTAAATTGTTATTTTTCTTGGTTGGGTGTAATTTTTCAGAGTTGATTTTTATGTTTAGTTGAGATCGTTACATCGTCTGCATAAGTCACTGTCGATTCAGTTTTAGTTGAATGATTCGAGATAAATCTGCGATATTCAAAAGATTTATGTTATCAGATAATACAACTTTAAAGATATATTACTGATAAATGGAATTATATCACATAAATTACATGTCACTCGATATTCTTTATCACATAAACCAATAGAATTTAGAAATCGTCTTAATTTGTTCTGTAAGAAACTACTATTTATAATATTTAGTGAAGAAAAATCACCATTCAACTTGAAAATTAGTAGTTATTTTCTTTATGATTTATTGCCAAACATCAATAGACTTGTAAAAAGTCATTAAAAAATAATTGTTAAAAAACGATGCATAAGGAAAACGATTATTCAAGGTCTTAAGTAATTGTTTATTCAAAAAAAAAAAAAAAAAGGATAAGATAATTTTTAAATGTCATTTTATAAACACAAAATGGCAAAACACTGCATTTTGTTTCTTTGTTTTGTTTAGTGTTTGGCTTTAACGAGCTTTAGTGTTGTAAATAAAATTTAATTTTACGCTAGGCCTTTTATTATTATTATTATATAAATTATACCCCAAAAAGAGGCTAAAAAAAAGGTAACGATAGATTTAGAATTTTATTTGCTAATAACTCAAAATGTACACAATTTTGGGTTCATAAAACTCAAGATAATTAGAAAGCTTTCTGAATTCCACACAAAATGAAAAACAAAAAAATAAATTTTATTATATTTTTATCTTTAACATGTACTCCCATTGAGTAGTATACTAAATGGTATGTGAAATCTTGATGATTGACTTGCAGAAAGTAAAATGTTTCAAAATTGCTAATAGACCTAAACAATACAAGATTAAGTAAATTTCCATCTTGTTTAAAAGATTTTTTTTATTAATAATAAGTGTGTTGTGGGATATATTACTAAATTTTTCGAAATCTTAATATATATAATGATTAAAAAGTAAATTTATTTTTACTTTTAATTTATTACCTTCTACTTAAAAGGACTTTTAAAAATAAAAAAGAATAAGCATAAGAGAAAATTCTTATTATTATATTTTCTCAAAAATAAATTCACTACTCCTGAATTCAATAATAAAAATAAATAACACTCAGCTTAGCATTTTATCTAAAAAACAACAACACAGTGATAATGAATTTCAAGGAAAGCAAACTAATAATTTTAAAAAAAATCCATACAATATTTTTTTTCTCAATGTTATATAACTAAATATAAACATGAAATAAACTAGATATCTAAATTTATTTAATTTCGATGTTATTAACATTATATGGTGGGATTAAACATTATTCTTATTGTTTTAGTTTATATATTTTTTGTATATCGATAACTCTCATCATTAGATTTGTCATTGAATTCAGAAAATAAGCGGCCATTATATTGATCTTTAGTGTTTCAGTACATGAGCGATTTTCAAGAATAGATACCATATTTTAATATAAAAATAAAATCATAATGGCTAAACTGCACTTGTTATTATTATTAATAATATTAATATTAACTTGTTGGCCCGTGCGAATAATAAGCATAATATAATATAAATATAAGTTAATATTTCTTCTTTAAAAATCTTCTTTTTCTCAGTTAAATCACATTAGTTCATTTAAAATAATAAAGCAAAACATGTGTACATTACTATAGGCTGTATATTTGCTAATAATGGTTTGATTTCGATGATTTTTTTTTTGTTTAGAAAATTTAGTAATATTTCAAATAATCATAAGTATAATCAATATAAAAGCTTTTTAAGTTTTTCACACATGAGGTTTCTTTTCATTCATAACTTTTTTCCTGAAATTTCGGGAGAATTTCACTATAATTCGTCAATGCATTATTTAATACATTTTCTTTTGATAGTTTATTTATCGAAGTTCATAGCTCATGAGAGCTGGAAAAGAGATATTTACTTTTGAAAAAAATCGCATTATATCTAAAGATGGATAATAGACAATTTAGGTATTGTTAAAATGACCTAAAGCCCCTAGGATATTATTTTTATGTTAAAATAAAGCTTTTTCTCTTGAAAATGGCATGAGAGCTGAAACGTGGAGTGTAAAAATAAAGTAGGAATATTTTGATATAATGTATGTTTTTATTATTACAAATAATTGATATTGAAAAAAAAAAAACGAAAGATTTTAAAGTTGGACTCTTATATAACTAACTATCCATTACACAGGATACTATGCTGTTACAATACTCCCGATCCCGAAACGTACCTTACATTCAAAGTCCATTTAAAGAAATTGAGATGTGTCAGTCAATCGCGAACCCAGAACATATCAGGATCTATGAAAAAAACAGTACTTTTTCGATTGAGTCTCAAGAAACTTGTATATCATGCAGTCAATTTATCCACAATAGTCTATATCACATTCTCCTTCACTGCCCAGCTCACAATGACTATAGACAAAAATTCCTTCAAAACTTCATCTCAGAATCTTCTGATAACCACAACATCGAAACCATATTGAATATCGACTGTATGGATAAGTTAAATAAAGTTTACTATTATATGATGGGAGTACACAAAGTGCATCCACAAAATTGTTGATCATAGTCCATGTTCTATTAAGTGTTTTTAGTTTATCGTAAAAGTAATATTTTGTTTATATATATATATATATATATATATATATATATATATATATATATATATATATATATATAAATATTTTTATTTTTTATTGTTTCTACCATAGTAACAGGTTCATATAACTATTATTATGCAGTAATCATTTTAAGTTTTTAATTTCTATTGTTACTCATGTTTCGTAAAACCCATTCTACACGTAAAAATATTGTAAATTTTATTTATTTTTAAATGATATGTATATAAGACAATAGCCAAGCTAGGCTCTATTTGTATGGGGAACGCCTCAAAAACAAATAAATTTCTATCTATCTATCTATCTCTTATATAACAATTATTATTATTAATATATTAATATGATATAATGATATATTATACTGACCACAGACTGGAGACATTGTAGTCAATTTCAGATGATGCGATGATGGCACTCGGATAGGCGGATATCAACTGATGAACGCTTGGCCTCGAGTCACAGCTCCTTTAAATATATCTTGGGTGACTAAGCAGAAAATTTATTAAATATAATAATAATTAAGATATATTCTGCAACGAGTTAATTGAACTACGGGGTATAGTAATTATTATAAGGAAAAGACAGGACAGACAAATTGCTTGCACAGCTGCGGACAAACAAATCTCAAGAAGCGTTGATGAATTTTACTTAACACTACATCAACAGTTGTTATATCATAATGATATCTCCGTTATTTTTTATTAGACTCGAATATGTTTATCGATGAATGAATTTTAAAATTATGCTCGACGTTTTCAATGATATGTTTTTTTTTTTTACTTTAGTATTTTTACATTCAAGGACAATGATAAAGGTGACGTAATAGCACATTCACCTGATATTTACAGAAAAAAATATATATCCAATAAAAAAAAAACATAATAAATTAAAATAAAATATAAAAATGTAGTGCGCGCATCATACAACTTTCACTTACCACTTTTGAGTCGAAAAAACTACAATAGCTTCATCTTATCGTAGTCTGTTTTTTTTTTTTTTTTTTTGAGGTTGAGAGAGTAGCGCAGGGTTTTCCTGGAGTTCCCTCGCCTGATTGTATATAGGGTATGCACGTGTCTTCTTTGCTTAGCTTTAATTTTCTTATTTTTAGGTTATTTTATTTTATTATTTATTGTATATACTTTTGATTATTATTTTGCTTATATTTATTTTACATTTTTGTACATATAGTGTGAATGTTATCCTACCTCACTATAACCAATGTCCAAGAGATGTTGTAATACTCAATAAATAAATTTTAAAATAAAAAAAAATAACGACCCAACAATTCCATTCAAAACTCTCCAATCACATATCACAAGCCTTGAAGAATTGGTTCAAAATCGGAGAATTAAAATAAACTCTATGAAATTGCCTTTGCCCTTCGTCGTGAAGCTATGACTTTCTGCCCTACAGTATGCTTTAACAATACCCCAATCATCTCTGTTGAACAAACCCGATACTTAGCAATCCACCTGGACAAACGACTTACTAGGAATCCTCTACCAGACTGAAACGACAAGAAACCGCTCGACGTTTCCGGGTATTTCATCACTTACTAGGCCGACGCTATAAACTTCCAGTTACTTACCAAAGATATCATATACACGACTATAATAAGGCCTATTTGGACTTAAGGAATAGAGCTTTGGGGCTCTACTAAATCATCAAATTCCTCTCGTATTCAATCCTTAAAAAAATATATCCAATAAAAAAAACATAATAAATTAAAATAAAGTATAAAAATGTAGTGCGCGCATCATACAACTTTCACTTACCGCTTTTGAGTCGAAAAAACTACAATGGCTTCATCTTATCGTAGTCTGCAATTTTTTTTACCTACGAATATTTCTGAAACAGGATATTTTTCATTAAATTAATTTAATTTATTAGATTCTAAATACGCATAAACACTTTTTCACCACTTGAATCGTAAGATGATTTGAATGCAAAATAGAAAAAAAAAAAAAAAGTGGCCTACAAAATTATTAGGCCGTTTGGCTTATATAGCCTCTTTATTTCGACATGTAGGGAATGCAGGTTTCCCCAAATGGCCTAATATGTTTGTTGGCCATATTTATTCTCGATTTTGTGACTAAATTATGTTACGATTCGAGTTAAAAGGAAATGGGTGTTAATAAGTTTTCAGTACTCAATTTAATAGGCAATATTTAAGAGATTGAAAACGCCCCAATTCCAACAATTTTCGTAAATTAAATAGTTGTAGTCTACGACACTAGCGGATTCAGGATTTAATTTTGGGGGGTGGGGACTTCAGCCCGAATGATTTTTTTTCATCTACATATTACAATGATTAATTAGAAAAAAAAGATAGAAATTAACTACCTGTATGAAATGGTATTTAAGTGGTTCTTGAAGTCCTATTAAATTTAATTACACGAACAAGAATACTTTAAGAGAAAGTTTTTAATATGTTGTTCTGTAAAACATGGTTATATTTTACCATTTTTGGAGGGAGGGGGGCTTCAGACCGAAAGCCCTCCCGTAGATCCGCCTGTGGTCTACGATGAAATGAAGCTATTCCTGAAGTTTTAGGCACATATCAATAGCTTGAGTCTAAAGACGTGAAAAGGAGTCTATACTATACTAGTGGGCAATGGAAACCTTGCAACTCCATTAGCCTATCTGAACCTCACAACTCCTGTCTCTGAGCTGTATTTACAAAGAAATCTATTGATAAGTAACGATTGTACTACATAGGAAAAAAATAAAGGAATCAAATCTCTGTTCATTTTTACTTATGTTTAAACTTTTCAATCGGGCATCGATAGCTCGTTCAACTAATTTTAAGATCATATAGTCCGCGTTGCAGACTCCTTTTTATCGAATTATTTATATCCGGCTGAAACTTCGTAAATAGCTTCATCTCATCGTGACCTACAAATATTTTATTTACGAAAATTCTCGGAATTGGGCGTTTTCAATCTTGAGGTCAGGAAATATTGTCTTTTTTTTTATTTATATTTTATGCAATTTGCACCTGCGCGGCTGTGCATCTAGCAAAGTTGTTGTGTTTGTATTGTCTTGGTGTATTTGCTTGATATGGTTTTTATTGATATAGTAGGTCTCTTGGCCATTTTCTTTTTAATCTGTGTTGTTCAGGTAACAGGGAGCAGGAGATAGAAACAACCAGAGGATTGGAGTGATTTTGGGTTGAAGAATGAAATTTAGTGTATTTGTCGTGGATGTAGGATTTTATTCTTGTGGTGTTTAAATCGTTATGTATAGTAGTATTTGAAATGTACCAAGGTGCGTTAACAATTTTTCGTCAAATTTTTTATTGTGCTGTTTGTATTTTGTTTATGTGTGTTTGTTTAGCTGAATCCCAAAGTTCTGCTCCATATGTCCATATTGGTCTCAGTAAGGTGTTGTAGATCAGTCGCTTGTTTCGTAAGTTAAGTCCAGAAGATGTGAAAGTTGGCTATATCGTCTAGTAAGTTCTTGTTCTTTTAATTTCGTATGTATGTTCCAAGTAAGTCTTTTGTCTAAGTAGAGTCCAAGGTAGCGTACATAGTTCTTTGAAGGCACTGGATTATTGGCAATCGTTATGGGTGGACATTAGAGAAACTAACGTGGGTGCATTTTTTACTATTAATTTTGATTTTCCAGTTTTCAAACCACTTTTCAAGATCATGAAGATGGTTTTGTAGAGCAATTGATGCGATAGTAGGATTTTTGTGTGAAGTTAGAATAGCAGTGTCGTCAGCGAAGCAATAAATGGTGGTATTAGGGTGCTCAGGGATATCAGAAGTGTATGTAGAATAAAGGATTGGGCTTAAGACGCTACCTTGTGGTACGTCTATTTAATTGAGCACAAAAACTCATGAACACTCATTTACTTTTAACTCGAATCGTAACATAATTTAGTCACAAAATCGAGAATAAAGTTGGTCAACAAAAATATTGAGCCGTTTTGCTTGACCTACACCCCAACATTGTCAAAATAACGAGGTTCCAAACGGCTCAATATTTTTAAAGAACAACTTTTTTTTTAACTTTACGCTCAAGTTATCTTAGTATTCAAGTGGAAATCAAATGAGTTGTTAGTACCTAATTAAATAGACAAAGTTTGCCGACCTCTAGATTGAAAACGCCCCAATTACGATAATTTTTGTAAATAAAATATTTGTAGGTTACGATGAGAGAAGCTATTTACGGAGTTTCAGGAGGATATTAATAATTTGATTAAAAGGTATCTGTACTACGAACTAATAATGATTTCCGTTTTTTTTTCAAAGTTTACTTTGTTAACTTCCCCTATACCTGCAATCCTTACCGCTGCCTTTCCAGTTCTAAGTGAAACTCCTAGAAGAACACACCTGTAAGTCTCTAATTTTATTTTTCTCGTGTAGATTTTGTAGAATTATACTCACATTGTTAGCATCTATTTACTTTAGTTTAAGATCTTGTTACTCAGCTTACTTAGTCCATATTTTATTGTACTTACTCTTTATAATTTTAATAAGCTTATTCACATTGTTTATAAATTATGTCTAAATATTATGTTATTGCCACAATTCTCTATCTTTTTGTATCTTGTCTAGCCCTGATGAAGACCTGCAAAGTCGGGTCGAAACGTTGGCTTTCAATAAAATAGTTTTACCACTATTTAGCCTTTTTATGACCGCAACCCCGGACCATCTCCTTCCTTTATAATGCAACGGTCAACTATTAAATATTCAATAATAATGATTTCATAGAGCAAGAGATTGCGCAGAAGGAAAATCGATCAAATTATTCAATCATTTCCTTCCTAAAATTTTACTAAATGATTGTTCGAAATCAATCGACGATATATACCTAATTACTTATATATCTGATCGGAGTTGAAGTTATTAAATTTTAAACAGGTTATAAGTGATTCAAATACATATAATATAAAAACCTTCTAACTCCAGCATCTGAGCTTCATATACGACAGATTTGATAGTAAAAAAATATATATTCAACAGTCAAACATATATTGCATCACATAGTTACAATATTAGAGGAATTAAATCTATATCTTTTTGTACATTTCAATATTTTCCAATTGGTCAAAAGTAGTCACATTACATCCCTTTGCAATATACAGACCATTAATAATTTCTAGTAGGTATAAACGAATATTTCGCTTATTAAATTAGTCAATAAATAAATTAAGAGATGAATAAATCAATTTTATTTTTCTCAGTCGATTAGAATGGCTCATACAATAATATACTTAAACGTGTCTAAAATAAAATACGTTGTAGTTTTTTTCTCGATTTCGATACATTTTTTTTCCTTTTATATTGATGTGAAGAAACTTCCAAAAATCGCAAGAACGAAACACATAATGAGTGTATAATTATAAGATTTATTTTTTTAAGTTATTTATTCTTTTTTATCGAAGTTATTTATTCTTTTATCGAAATATCGAAGAGATTTAAAGATTTGAATACATCCTTTTCTTGTTAAAACGGCTTGTTCTTTTATTTTTGTAGCCTCTGATAATAAGGATTAAAACCAAATGCTTGAAGTGAGAACAGGATTTTATGATGAGTCACGTTTTTATCTATAACTTATAAATTCCGACTGATTTCAAATATTATCAGATTTAAAAACAAAAATTGAAACGAAAGAAACAAGTTTATAAAAAATTTATATTGATAATCTTTTTAAACATAAACGAAGGTTGCGATTTTGGCTTTAAAACATGTTTCTGCTGATTTTGTAAAATATCCATTTTTTTTTCATTATACATAACATAATATTTGATATAATATTTCAGTACAATACTTCCAGCTTCTATTATGTACATGTGAAGTAGGAGAAACATACAAAACTAACTTTTTTTCGAATTTCGTATAAAA